GGTGCATGGACTTACTGCTCTGTGGCATGTGGGATCTTCCCGGACCAGGGCTCGAACCCGTGTCCCCTGCATTGGCAGGTGGATTCTTAACCACTGCGCCACCGGGAAACCTATGTTTTTCTTCTTTGACTCAGGCTACTTAGAAGGTTTTCTTTTTCTGGAATTTGGGTTTCATTTGAAGAGCAATAGCCAAAAAACCCAAAAAACAAAAAACCCATCAAAATAGATTTATCTGAAAGATTTGGGTTCAGTGCTTGGTGGTGACGTGGTGTCATAATGGTTAACTCAGAAGAAATGGGAAATGAGCCCGTCTGTCTGAACCAAAATGACAGGAGGCAAAAAAGACAGTGGACTGATTTTAGTTTGATTGTGTTATTTATTGTCTCATGTCTCTCTTGTTTTCCTGGTTGATTTCATTCTCTTGAGAGAGGGACTGATGGTTGTCTGCTTGCACAGCCACCTCTCATGCCTGTGGAAAAATGTCCCCTCACTAAGGACACTAACACGTGACTGGAGCTGACAGTGGCTGAACTGGGGGTCAGCACGGCACTGAGGTCACACACAGTCACTGACCAGGTTGAGCACTGTCAATGCCTCCAAGTCACCTCTGAGGAACCACAGGCACAAGGAGGTGAAGGACGGGCCCAAGGTCCCACATCTCCAAGGCACGAGGGTCGAGTCAGTAACCCCTGGCTCGAGAGACTACGCTCTTTGCCACCTGCTTCCTCTCTAGAACTCGAAGACACCAGATTAGAATGCTTATTCTCTCTCATCAAATTGGCGAGATTAAAACCCACCTGCTACCTGTGCACTGCTGGGGCACTTATGCAGCACAACCTGGGGGAAGGTAATTTGCCAGAATGATCTCCCCGTCAGCTCATTTCTGGCAACCCGTCCTGTTGGCCCTAAATGTGGAGAAGATGTTTACTGCATTGTTTTTAATGACCTAAACTGGAAACAGCCTACATGCCTTTGTTAGGAGAAGGTTAAGGCAACTTTTTATTTAATGGATCATTATGCAGCCACAAAAAATGCTTCCCATTGGTATTAATGTGGAAACATAATAACATAGAAAACGATAATTTTTCTACAGTACATGTGATGTGTTGTAATTTACGGTACATTTGTACAATATTTTATATATAACAATATATCCATCATGGCATATTATAAACCATCATAAATAAAAACCAAACCAAACCGAAGCAGATGCAGACACCCCTGGAACGTGTCACATACCCTTCATCTGAAACCGGCCAAATCCGGCCCACCACCTGATTCTGTAAATAAAGCCTTATTGGCCGTTTCTGTGCTGTGATTGCTATTGCATGTCATGGCTGAGCTGAGTTGTGGCAGAGACCTTATGGCTACAAAGCCAAGATCAGTTATTATCTGTCCCTTAACAGAAAATGTTTGTCAACCTGCCAATCTGTATTGTTGTTATTGCTTCTTTGCTCAGCCTTTGAGAGAAAACTGCAGATGTCATGGCCCTGTGGCCCTTAAGACCTCAGCATGCATCTTTCATGACAAGGATGTTGTCTGGGATGGCTGCAGGCCATCAAACCAGGGAGCTTTGACACTGATGTGCCCCCCACCTCCCCTGTGGACAGTCTAGACCCAACGTTTGCCAAATGTCCCAGTGACCTCCTTTATAGCAACATTTCCCCACCCAGGATCACAGGTGTGTTTTCCCTGAGCCAGACCCTGGCACCTGTTTGAACAACTTTGCCTCCTCACATCTCCAGTTCTGGGACTGTGAGAGCAGGATCACAGGTCACACCTGGGGCCTGCCTGTCGGGGTAGGAGGAGGGCCTGCCAAGCTGCGAAGCAGAGGTGCCAGCTCAGGTAGAGCTGTTATGACATCATAGCTTTTAGAAAGAACAAGAGTAAAAATCTTAACCTGGAGGGATGTTTCCACTGGGAGCACTCTCTCCTGTCTCCTGATGGGGGAGCCCCCAAGATCAAGGCCATCATTAGTTTTCTGGGTCTAAAGAGCTGAAAATGTAGGTATCAACATTTTCCTGATAAAAAGCCCTATTACTTCCTGGACGACAGTCACCTCGCCCCTCTTATACAGTGCTGAAATTCTGGGACAAACCACACCCTCGCCCAGGAGAACATGGAGGCCCATCCAGACCACTCTTGGAGGGAAACCAAGGGCAGGCACAGCATGTGGATGTGAAGGGGGTAGGATGGAACCTGGGGGCCAAGCACAGAGAAGTGGAACTAACCTGAATGGAGAGCTGGCCCTGGGGGGCAGGCCCACCGTCTCGTGTCTGAAAGGCCGCATGGCAGGCAAAAGCTGCATCCAAGCTGCCGTCAACATCCCGGGGCCTCACATGGCCAGGGCAGGAAGCTCCCACAGTGGCAGCATTTAGTGTCCTGAGTGGTCCACCTGGTAAGTCAAGGCTGCTCAGCTGGGATGATGGCTGATGTGGGAGGACACACAGAGAGCCCAGTTCCTGGGAGCAGGGGCCAAGTTCAAGGAATGGTTCTCCAGAGAGGAGGGAAGGCAGAGGACAAAGCACAGCACCGCCACCACAGCCAGCCAGGGGGACACTGGGGTCCCCAGTACTCACTGCGGAAGCACTGCCATCCAGCTCAGGGTCACAGGCCTCCTGCTGGGCCACACGGAGATGGACTTGGGACCCGGTGGGCCAAAGGTCTGCAGCACAGCCTTCAAAGGAGCCGGTGGGAGGGCCCGAAGCCAGCATGGGAGTCACAGGCGAAGGCGGCAGTGGGAGGTGCTGACTGTGCTCGGGTCTGAAGCCTGTCCCCTGGACAGCAGTTTGTACACTCGCCTCCCTGGTGCCACAGCTGCGAGGAGCTGCCTTGTTATCATGATGTCTTGCCCTGGAGATTCTCTAGACCAGAAAGGTCTCTGGCCACACTGGTGTTTGCTGACCTGGCTGGGGCAGTTTTCCTGGTGACGGCAGGACCCCCAGCCCGATCAGACGCCAGGGGAGGAGGAGCCCCAGGCAGGCCTGCCAGGACAGTTTTCGCGGGCACAAAGCTCTGAGTCTGGAAGGCTTCCCCATGCTCAGTGCTTCTTCTGTGGGTGACGTTTCCGATGGCGAATAAGACATGAGCTGTAGGCAAAGGTTTTCCCACATTCCTTACATTCGTACGGCTTCTCTCCAGTGTGGGTTTTCTGATGTTTTAGGAGATTTGAACCACAGTTAAAGGCTTTGCCGCACTCACTGCATTTAAAGGGCTTTTCTCCGGTGTGAATCCTCCGGTGCTTGGTCACGTCGGAGCTGTGCCTGAATGTCTTCCCGCACTGGGCGCACTGGAAGGGCTTCTCTCCAGTGTGGACTCTCTGGTGGCGAACGTGATCCGTCTTGTGCTTAAACACGTGCCCACATTCGCTGCATTTGTAGGGCTTCTTCCCCTGGAAGGGAGTGAACACAGGCACCCCATCAAAGTCATCTTTAAATGTAGCACTGAAGGCCTCAAACATGTGTTCCTCGTCCTCACGACTCAGGCCGGGTTCCTTACTGTGCTTTTTGGCCAAAGTGGATCTCTGGTTTGGCTTCTTTTTCCGACATGCTGTATCTTCCTTGGGAGTGTCCTTCTGAACACGTACTTCTCCCTCTGGGGTCTGTGCCTTCTTTTATTTGCCTGTGGGCTTTTCCATCCTTCTTGTCCCCAGGAGAGAGGAAGGACCACTGGAAGCTGGCAAGGGCCAAGGAGAATGACCAGCAGCAAAATTCTCCAGCCTTATGAATGTCCTTGTAACTCCACCTCTTCAGAAAGGTCTTGCTTTAGACACAACACTGTATTTTTCCAAGCTGGTAACTACAGTTCTGGAACAGAAACTCTGCAACAAAGAGAAGAGCACCAACAACCCTTCTGAGGCTGGAGAGAAACAAGACCATGAACATTAGATTAAACGAGTGTTTGGGAGGAACACAGCCGTGAGGTTTTTGAGTGCTGAGTTATGAAGGGGCAGAAGGGTAGGGAAGGGGTGGGGGAGGCAGTGGGAACACGGCCCCCTTCCCTTCCCTGCTCACGTATCCCACCTAGACATCTAACGAGTCTCAGGCTGGACATGACCAAACAGCACACTTATTTCCCAGAAACCCACCCCCCACAACCTCACTGTTCCCAGTTTTCCTCATCTCAGTAGATGGCATCATCGTTTACTCAGTTGCTAACCAAGGAATTCTTTTTTTCTTTAATTAACTTTATTTATTTATTTATTTTTGACTGTGTTGGGTCTTCGTTGCTGCATGCGGGCTTTCTCTAGTTGTGCCGAGCAGGGGCTACTCTTCGTTGCGGTGCATGGGCTTCTCACTGAAGTGGCTTCTCTTGTGGTGGAGCACAGGCTCTAAGCGTGCGGGCTTCAGTAGTTTTGGGATGTGGGTTCAGTAGTTGTGGTGAATGGGCTTTGTTGCTCTGTGGCACGTGGGATCTTCCTGGACCAGAGCTCGAACCCGTGTCCCCTGCACTGGCAGGCGGGTTCTTAATCACTGCGCCACCAGGGAAGTCCCAACCAAGGAATTCTTATTCCTCTGCCAGGGGCCAGCATCTCCACACCTGCGTCCGGTAGGACTCATGTGTACCACGGATCAATGACGGCTGCGTGGTCCCCAAACTGGAGTTTTCCCCGCCCTTTACTTGCTCCTTCTCCACTTCTTGTATTTGGGACCAGACAACGTGCTTTTGGAGTTACAGGCTGTGGGAGCCACATGTGACCCTCATGGAAGGTTCCTCCCATCACTTGAAGCCTGGATTCTAAGCTGGATGAAACTCGCTCCCACCCTCACCCCAGGCCTCCCCTGGGTCCATCCTCCACAGAGCAGCCAGTGAACCCCCGTCACATTTCTGCCCAAATCCCCACTGGCTCCCCTCACACTGCTGCCCCTGTGCTTCCCCACCCCACCCCCCAGCCATCCTTAGGTTTGCCACATATTCCTTTCTGCCTCAGCGCCTGGGTGCTCCTAGAAACAGGTCCTGAGAGGAGGTGTTGGTGGTGCTGGCCCCTCACTCATTCAGAGCTCTGCTCTGAGGGCCCTTCTCAGGCAGTCCTCCCTGACCCCACTCCCTGGTTCCCTTACCTGGCTCCCATTCTCCTTGTGGCACTTAACTGGAGCCAACTCATCCACTGAAGGCCAAAACCCCAGGGAACAATCAACTACAATCTTGCTTGCATTGTCTAAAAAATCTGACATTCTCTGTCTCTAATCCCATCTAAAAGAATTCCAATTTCACCACGAATTCAAACAGGAATCAGTCGGTTCCAGTGATAGGTGCTTGCAGAAGCATCACCAGCATGGCTCATGTTTCATTGGTTAAGAACCTTCATCTATTTCTTTTTTGTATGATTTCTGAGCTTTGTTGACCTGCCTCTTCCTTCAGTGCTAACTAATGCAATTCCAGGATAAAGCCTTGACAAGCTTCAGGCTCTTTAACTGCTAGCAAAAGAAATCCTCCACAAGATTAGGAGAAAGCACTTTCCAAAGAAAGCAGATCATGTTCTGAGTCCTCAAATCATCCCTGAGACCTCCCATGACCTGTGCTGGTCACCCAATCTACTGGGAGGTCCATATCCTGACAGGCTGTCTCACCCTAAAATGTGGTGCTCTGGGTGATAATGTTCCAAGTGACATAGATTTTGAGGTACAAATGCTTTGAATTCCCTTTAAGTTAAAGGGGGTACTTGGGCTTTCATCCACTCTCCCAGGCATAGAGGCAACGCATAAAATGACTGGACAGATTTCCCAACTTGACAAGAATTTTAGAGTCTGGTTTCTTCTAAATGAAAGTGCTTAGATACACCTGACTTGGATTCAGGTAAACGTCATTCTCTGAAGGCTCTATTGGAGGTAGCTTCTGGGAGGTAGCATCAGGTGAGAGCCAGAATTGAGGATGATGGAAGGCCATCTAGGCTGAGGGAAGCATGAACAAATATGGGAGCATCGCTGCTGGGGAGGTAGGTGGAACCAGGGCCCAGTCAGCCAGGCTGGAGTTTGAGCTCAGGTGTAGTGTTAGTAGGAAACAGATGAAAACCAAGAACCAACAGGAAAGTGCCATCAACCCTCTAGCCCACGGCTCTCCAGGGAAGGTGTAAACTCAGCTTGGTTCTGTGCTGACCCACTTGATGGAGAGGGGTGGTCCTTGAACCCACTGAGCCTGACAACTGCCAGCTGTGCTCCAAGAACTCTTCCCCCACCAGGACTCCTGTCACTCCACGTGTGGCTTGTCACTGATGTGGCAGTCTCCCGACGAGGCGAGGGCTCTTCAGGGCAAGGATCGTGTCTCTTTCATCCTTGAATCCCTAGTTACTTGGCTGTAGCCTGCACATACTGCTGCTCAGGAAACATTCTAGATAATCGTCTTTTCTGCCTAACTCAAGCTGGCAGGTGCTTAATGGCAGAGACTGGACGTACTCACTTCTCTAAGTCCCATGCACACCAAGGAATAAAATATTTAATTATTAAAAGCGGTGTAGACCTGAGGTCATTGTCTTGGTCTTTTCATTTCACAGGCCTGTAGGCCCGGTGACTGCTAGCCACGCAGAAAACTCAATCCACCTTGCCAGAGCAGACGAGAACCCTGGCCTAAAGGCCGGGGTGCTGGTACCTGCTGTGCGACTTCAGTGTAGCTCCTTCACTCTCTGTGCCAGGCCTCTTGTAACATGAAGCTTTGGGTATCCCCCTGCAGCAGGACACTCCGTGGTAACCTCACTTGTCCTCAGAAGCCGGGGTCTCAGGGAGAGACTGGATTACTAGTGGTGGGAGATCCAAGGGCAAACATGCACCCAAGCAGTGTGTGGGCTCCGGGCCTGCCAGCGGGCCCGCAGCGGTGTCGAAGCCGAGGAGAGGGTGCCGCCTGACAGAGCCTCGCCAGCCTTGGGCCCGGGGACTCCACCTCGATCCGCACGGACCTGGTCTTCGAGCCTCGCCCTCCTCCCCGCGGCGCCCAGGAGCCGAGAGAGGACTGCCGTTGCTCTCGGCCGGGGGCCCAGGCGACGCCAGAGGGACCCAGTGAATTCCTGCATAGAGGCTGGGGTGGGCGCGCCCCTCGCAGGGTTCCCGGGCCGGGAAGGACGCCTCGTCGCCGAGCCCCGCCGCACCCCAGCTGCCCAGTGCCGGGAAGCTGCACAGTCGACCAACGCTGCCCATGCGCCGGCCGGAAGGGCCCGCCTCTGGCCCCGTCCCTTCCGGCGCCGCTCTAGGAGGCGAGGGCCCGGGGCTCTCTGTGGTGCTCCCGGGAGGGCTCCGCCCCTCAGCTGGTTTCCCATTTCAGGCGATGCCCGCTGGTCCACCCGCCGGCTCGCCTTCGGTGCCCGCCGGAAGAGCCCGCGCCCAGCCGGCCGTTTCCGGTGCCGCTCTAGGTGGCGAGGCCCCAGCATCTCGGTGGTGCCCCACGGTGGACTCCGCCCCCGAGCCACCTCCTCCCACTCCGCTGGGGTCCCACACGCCCCCTCACGCAGCCATCACGCATTAGCCGCACCTCAGTCACCTCTGCACCCGTTCCCTTACTCTTGTGCCCCCTTACTCCTGTACTCCATCACTCACTTCAGCCCCCCCTCGGTCCCCCCACACCCCCTTCCTTCTTCTTGTGGCTCCCCCCACTCCCCCCAGCCCCCTCCCTCACTCGTGCCCTCCCCGCCAGCCACCTGTTTGAGTTCCTTAGAGGCAGCAGGCACGCTGTGGTGTGCGTTCAGTTGCACTGGCCACTCCCTCTGCCTGGAACACTTGTCCGCAGCTGTCTGGTTGGCTAACTCCCACTTCCGTCTGCTGAGAGCTCACCTCTTAGAGAGGACCCCTGACCACTGACTACCCTGTGTGTATTAGTTTCCTGATTATCACAAGGTTAGCAGCTTAAAACAATACGTGTTTGTTATATCGCAGTTCCTGTGGGACAGGGGTCCAACGAGTCTTAGGTGGTCCCATGCTCAGTCTGGCAAGGCTGCGGTCATGGTGTCCGCGGGCTGTGTTTTCAGCTGGAGGCGAGACTGTGGAAGGATCTGCTTCCACACTCATGTGGTTGTTAGCAGGCTTCCTTTCCTGGTGGCTGTGTGACTGAGCGCCAGCTTTTTCTGGGCTGTTGGGAGGCTGACCTCAGGTCTTAGAGGCTCCGCCCCCAGTTCCCTGCCATGTGGCCCTCTTCATGCTCCTTCAGGGTCAGTGGAGAGCCTCTGGCCCTGGTCTACTGGGGTGGAGTCTCATATGACCTAACGGTAGGAGCAGCCTTCTGTCAGCTCTGCTGTAGTCTGCTGGCTAGGAGCACGTCCTGGGTGCTGCCTGCACTGTTGGGGGTCACATTCTCTAATACCACAGCATTCTGCCTCTTTCTCCACCTTCTGGCCCTCACCCTTCCCTGCATTTTTTTTCATAGCAGTTTCCACTTTCTAACATACTATGTAATTTCCTTATTATTGTGTTTATTATGTTCGTCTTCCCTTCCCATGCCAGAAAATCAAGTCTTTGGGGGCGCACGGTTTTGCTTTTTCTGGTGGGGTCTCATTACGTGTGGTGCAACGAATGGGCACTTGACCCTCATGCCACCTAGATACAGCCTTCTCCCACGTACCTCTGTTTCTAGCCCCTGCCGTCCAGCTCTCTCCTGGACTTCACCCTTGCAGGAGCTTTAGGTACCTCGATTTCAAACTATCCGAGACCAAACTCA